TAGATTTATTTATTTATTATGTATACAGTATTCTGTCTGCATGTTTGTGCCTGCAGGCCAGAAGAGGGCACCAGATCTCATTACAGATCCTTGTGAGCCACCATATGGTGGCTGAGACTTGAACTCAGGACCTCTGGAAGAGCAGTCAGTGCTCTTAACCACCGAGCCATCTATTTTTAAAAAGCTATTGCCAAAGGGTCTTCTATAGTTCATCAACAGAATCACAGGTCCTGATGTCATTGCAGATATTTTTCCATTTAGGCACTGGAGATACCAGCCTCTGAGACAAAAATTGTCTACAAACTATGGCTGATGCCACCTCACTCAATGAGAAAGAACTCCCCAATGCTGAAGTGCAGAAGAACCGCATACTAACCCTGGAAGAATGGCAGGATAGGTGGGTGGTCCGTAACATCGGATTTCATCAGGAATAAGGGCATCGGTAAGACGTGTTTGGTCTCTGACAGAGAAATGCTTCATCAGAAATTGGCTGGGGTGAGGTGGGGTGGGGAGGTAGTGTGTGCCTCAGTTAGTAGAGAGCTCTCTTACCATGCAGGACACTTGGTGTGATCCACAGCACTGAACTAAACTGGGCATGATGGTGTATGCCTGTAATAACAATTGGGAAATGGGATCAAGAAGGATCAGAAGTTGAAGTTATGTAAGTGAGTTTGAGGCCAGTGCTTGGCACCGTGAGACTTTGCCTCTGAAAGAAAAGAAAGGGGGGAAAAAGCTAAAAGAAGCTGACTCTCAAAGTAATATTCAAATGCAATTTTGGATTTATTTTCATTGTAATCGTCTCATATTATGCAGCCTCTCAGATATCAGAAAGTATCCATAGGCTGCCATACTTTAATTAGCAGTGTGTGCTTTCTTTCATGGTATAATGATATGACTTACAGACGATGACATCTTAGATTTATGAAATGTGTTTTCTTTTTTAAAACCACCCATGCTTTGGTCATGGTGCTTATACATGCAGCAGAATGCTGACGCTAGATTTAAGCTTTGTCTCTGTATGTTCAAAAGTGAGGGTGAAGGCCGGCAACCTGGTTCCGCCCAGGAAGGCACGTGCCACCAATACCAACAGTCTGCCTTTCATCCCTAAGCCCCACAGGATGGAAAGTGAAAACTGGCTCCTGGAAGTTGTCTTCTGACCCCAGACATGTGCCATGACAGACGTGTACCCCCCCACACACAAACATACACACACCATAGAATTAAAATTTAAAAAGAATTAAGCTCCTTGAGAAGCTATTCTGTATTGAAAGGATTGAACATGTAGATAGGGCTATAGAACACTTAACACCACTTAGGTCACAACAAAAATCAGACTGTAAATGTGGTGATTAGGATAGACTTTTCCAAACATATCACTCACGGAAGCAGAAGTTATTTTACAGTCGTGAAAACGCAGGTCGTTAGTCATATTAATACTAAGTAGCTGTGTAATGAAGCAAGTTCCTTAGCTTCCCTGCTTCTTTAAGTGTAAACTGGAGGTTGTAATAATTAGCCTTATCTTCTTGTTACATTGTTGGGAGCATGGGAAGATCTTAGTGTCATTAATTCTATTTCCTTCTCCTGTGCGGTGAGCTAGTTAAAGCAAGCACTGTTGTAACTTTGTTTTTCTCCCCAGGCTATTAAAGAAGCATTTGGATACATTTCTTAAAGGCCAGAGTGGACTGAGAGTGTTTTTCCCTCTCTGTGGAAAAGCAGTTGAGATGAAATGGTAACCATTAACTAGTTTTTGTGGAATACTTGGAGTGAATATTTAACAAAATATGTGTATTTTTTTTTAAAAAAAAAGGGTGGGGGAGCAAGAGAAGGGTAGGGAGTGGGAACTGGGATTGGTATGTAAAATGAGAAAAGATTGTTTAAAACAATTTAAAAAAAAAAACAACATTCTCAGAGTCATCTGTGGCAGGACATGCCCATAATGGTAGAACGCTGGCGGTAACAGCAAAAGCTTCAGGAACTGAAGACCAGCCTTGGCTACACACACACACACATACACACACACACACACACACACACAAACACACACACAAACACACATATTCAAGGGCCACTAGGCTAGGTGAGGCCCTGTTCAAAAAGTCAGTCAAGCAAACATTCAAAGATTAACAACAACATACCATCCTCAAATACGAATGTCTTTATTTTAGGAGACTCTGTCATAGTTATAAAATTAGAGATACTGTTTCCAAACAACAAGAGTGTAAACTGAGTCAGGTATGACCTTGTCTTCCTGCATTTTTTTTCAAAGGCCCCCCAGAAAATAGTTTGGGGGAACATGAGGATTTAGCACAGTTGATAGAACACTTGCCTAGCATGCACAAGGCCCTGAATTCAGTCCCCGACATTGCTTAAAACAAGGGTGGTGGGCTGCGGGCCTTTTGTCTCCTGGGTCCTGGGAAGACCAGCTAGCCCTGTTGCCCTGCTGAGGAGTTCTTCCCAGAGAGATCCTTCATCTGGCGAAGGACGGCGATAAAGTCGGAGACCCACATTGGAGCACCGGACTGAGCCCCCCGAGGTCCAAATGAGGAGCCGAAGGAGGAAGAACATGAAAAACGAAATCAGTACTGCGAGGGATGCTATCACCCACTGATACAAGGAAACGGATCTAATGAGAGTTTACCAAGGCCAGTTGGACTGGAACTGAACGAGGACGTGATCTAACCAGATTCTCTGAATGAGGCCGGATTCTCTGAATGTGGCTGGCCCAAAGTCTTTCTGAAAAGCCATTGACTATGATACTGGGACCTGTTTCCTCTGCATATTCTGGATTTTGGGGATCCAGTCTGTTTGGATACTCACCTTCCTGGACCTGGAGGGAGGGGGGAGGAACTTGAACTTCCCACAGGGCAGGAAAACCTGACTGCCCTAAGGGATGAAGAGGGAGGAGGAGAGGGAGTGGGGGGAGTGGGAGGGTGTTGGGAAGAGGGGCGGAAATGGAAACTTTTATAATTTAATAAAATTTACTTTCAAAAAAAAAACAAGGGTGGTGGTATACACTTGTGATCTTGGCAATTACGGGGTGAATTAATTTGGAACAAGCAGGGGAATGCTAGCCTCCTTTTTCGTATCTCCTGGATCTGTGTATGTGGTCTAATGTCTATAAGTAGCTTAAACATTTCAGTAACTATGGATGTTTGAAATGGAAGGGAACAGAAAAACATAAACTGCAGCACAAGCTTTTAGCAGGGCAGAGTTTATGGTCCAGAGTTCAGCTCAGCTCTT